TGCAGCTCCCTCAGGTAATTGCACTGTGGTTGGAGGTGCACTCCTCTGGGGGAGGGTGGCTGGGCCATCCAGGGAGGTTGTCTGTATGTTGAAGGACTCTAGACCGTCCCCTTGCCGAGCCAGTCCCCATGTCAAGAATTAGCTTAAGTGTGAGTGGCTTCCTCTGGGAAGCCTTCGGAGCTCCTAGACTGCTTTAGACCTTGCTGTTTCCTACGCACAGATCTGAGGAGAAACTGGGGTACAGTGAAGCAACAGGTGATTCTAACCAGTGAATCAAAACCTCTGCTTGTGCCAGTGGAAGAGAGTCAACAGTGGAGCAGAGGCGCTGGCCCTGAACCCCACACTTCAGCAGGGGGGCTGGAGACCCTGCCCTGCACAACCACTCCTCTTGGGCTGAGTCTGTGGAGCCCTTCACTGTCTTGCCCTCCTTGACCCAGCCACTTGGACACTGACCCTCTCAGGGGTTGAGGAAGGAGCGCCCTCGTGCCACTGGGAGGAATGTAGGACCTCACAGCTCACCCTACCTCAAGGACTTGGCAGTAGGTTCCTTCTCTCTAAGGGTCAGGCATACAGTGGGCTTAATACTTTTGAGAGGGGAAATGCCTTGGTTTTAATTTACAAAGAAGCTGACAAAGGAGTTTTCTCCAAGTATAACCTCCCTAACTGGGGAACTGCCCATGACTGATCTGAGTCTCATAGAAGTAGATTGTTTCCTAATAAAGCACTGTTGACTTCAACAGAGTAGAAATCATGAAATTAGTGCTTCATAAAATGTATAGCCCTCCCTCAAATTCTAAGCTCCCTGAAATTCTTATTCCCAAGGTAGAGTATCCAAATGTTTAAAACAGAAAAGAAAATTTATTTTACACTAGTGGTAAACAATGAAAAACAACATAAATCCTAAAAATTTGACTGTTGGTACTAACTTATTTTAAACTTGAAGGCCACAGGTATTCCACTGCCAACTCTATATTCAGCATTGTACTGAGTACTTAACATCACTCTCAGTTAAGATTCTCTATTTTTATAGACCTGGTTTCAGATGTACACAAAGTATCCACCTTTGTTTAAACCTGCATTAAATGACTTGAGGATTATTACCTCTGGCGGTCCTAGCAACACTATAACAAATAAAGCAAGGTACATAATAGTCTTTTATGTGGGTCTTTGGTTCAACAGCTCAGTGCTATCATTGCTTTTATTCTAGTAGGATAAAATTTAGCCTTTTAGCAACAGAAATCTAAGGGATTTTAATTTTTATTTGTAGAAAAAGTAGTTCACATTTAAAATATGAGTATCTTGCAAAGTGGTTGGGCCTCTTTTTCCTATTTAAAAGGACAAGTGATGGGTGCCAATAACAGGGTCCCACAGTCTCCTCTAGGGGGTTGTGACCTGTATACTGTGAAGAATAGAGCTCATTGGAGGGGTTCTCCCTACTTCCAAGATGGTATGTTAATTACACATTTGAATTGGCCACTCTGCCACCCATTTATAATGTTCTTTGGGTATATGTTTTCAGAGTTGTGGGTATGTGCAGTATGCACAAAGAGACATGCTTGAGTTTGGGTTTATGCTCTAGGGACTATTCAAAGTTAGGAAGCTGGTACAATTTAATCCTTGGAGCCAATGTTGTGGTACAGAAAGGCATCTGTTTCAGTCTTTTCTCTCTTTTTTTTTTTTGAATTGGAGTCTCACTCTGTCACCCAGACTGGAGTGCAGTGGCCGCTGCCGGCCACTGCCGCCTCGACCTGCTGGGCTCCGGTGATCCTTCCGCCTCAGCTTTCCGCGTAGCTGGAATTACTGGCATGTGCTACCACACCCCGCTGATTTTTTAATTTATTGTAGAGATGAGGTCTCGCCAAGTTGCCCAGGCGAGTCTCAAACCTGCGGGCTCAGGCAATCCACTCACCTCAGCCTTCCAAAGCGCGGGGTTACAGGCTGAGCCACCGAGCCCAGCTTGTCTTTTCTCTTTGATTTTGTCTATTTCTCTCATCCTTTGGATGCAAAAGGAAGTTTAGAATGGGGACAAAATCCAGAAACATAGAATAAATCAGTGTGGCTTAGGTGTTTTATACTGGGGAACCGATGTCTTAATGCATCACTTTTTATCATCACCATCACCTAGATTACTGAGCCAGACCCCATTTCAACTCTAGTTTGGCTTTTAAAGGTTCAGTTAAATAGTAGATTGCTGGTATACTCTAATTGGAAATACATATAAACATGTTGAGGTAACTGAGGAATTAAATAACAAAAAGCAGAGAGGTTAAAGAACCACTTTGAGGACTTGTGCAGAAAAAGCAGGTGATGCAAAGAATTAGCACTCAGAAACCTTTCCATCTGAGTCTGAAAGACCTTTTGGAAGTTCTTAAGGCTTCCAACTGAACTTAGATTTAATAAAAAAGTAAGTTTATCTTTCTTGGTAAATAGTAAGATGTATTTCTATTTCGTTTGTTCAATGAGATCATCAAGTGATTTTTTTTTTTAATCGAGGAGAGTTTGGTTTGTTAATATTGTCAATGTCATCCATTTGGCTGATTTAAAACTCGTAATGAGTTGGAGCTTTTGTTCTTTTGCCCTGCCCTTGCTTTAAACTTGTAAGCTGAGAGTGAATCGGAAAAACAAGGATTTCAATTTTTTTCAAAATTAGGAAACTACCACAGGTTACTGCAAATTAGCTTATATAATGGCTCCAAAGCTCTTCTTTTGATAACAGATAAATGGTTCAGACCCAATAAACTAGGAAGTATCTCTTCATCTTTCTTGAGGGAGCACGTTATCTGGTTAAGAAGATGACTTGCTTCCAGTAGCAGGTGATGCCAGGCAGATGTGTTGGAGCCATTGAGTGAAGCAGGAAGATTTCCTTCTAGCTGGGAGAGTTAGGAATGCTACATAGTGGGCTCCATCCTGGAGCCTAAGAGATGGGCCAATTCATCTGTTTAAATCTATGACTATGACTATTAGATACATCAGTGTCCCTGATATAGTGTTAGACTCCCTTCATAAAATGGAAGCATAATCAATTTGAGGTATTTTCAGCCACGTTATAACTTTCCCTGCCTCATGTAGCTTATAACAATTGTATAAAAAGCTTATTATCACTTACCAACATTGGCATCCTCCATAGTCCTAGCAGGGTCTGCTGGGCCTTGAGGCACTTGAGGCCTTGGATAGCTACTCAGCTAAGCCAAAAAATTCTGATGGGTGCCTAAACTCATCAATAAGACAACTAGGAAAAGTTAAAAGTTTATTCGTGTTGTTTAAACCTCAAGGGCTACCCAGCTGTGAAATGGGTGACCATGCCTACTTCTGCATGCTGGGTGTAAAGATGAGGATCCATATATGAAAACTTATCCTTTCTCATCAGGTTCCTGTAAAGATAAATGTGTTTCTCATACTTAATGATCTTTTACTGCATCCTTCCTGAGACTCAGTGCAGTTTCCCGTTCCAGCACCTTGTTGCCATTCAGAAGTATAGATCTGTAGATGTCATCTAGCAGCCTATGCTTGATATTGGGAGCAGTTCCAGATGCTGCAGTCTACAATTTTGGGTAATAACCCTGAGTGTGCAGGTGTAGTGATCAAGTTTCTTGTTCATTGTTTGAGCTAAAAAATTCTAATGGGTGCCTAAACTCATCAGTATGGCAACTAAGAGAAGTTAATTAAAAGTTTATTTTTTGTTTAAACCTTCTGGGCTGTTTTTTATGGTTGCTAGCTTTTTTCCCTCTTCATAATTTTATTTCTTAGCCAAAGGGCAAAACAGTCTCTTACACGTTGCCGTTTCTGTGATGGGGATGGCTGACCCAAGTGCCTTCCATGATCAGGCAGGTCCACATAAATGAGGGGATAGACCATTTCAGGCAGTGCATCCCAACAGAGCAGCTCTGTTCCAGCCTTGCAGCCGCAGACCTACTGCTGGGTTCCTGGGTGCTGTTTTAAGACTGAGCATCTGGGTTTACATGTGAAATGTCAGGAAGATCATAGATATACTGTTGCCCCACCCTCTCCTTTTTTGTTGTTGTTGTTGTTTTTTTTACTACTATTAGCCAAGCCAGACATCTTGCCTTGTGGATATCAGGGTGCCACCTCTTCTCTGCTGTTGCTGTCTTAGTGCCTTGTGCATAGGAAACTCTCTAATGCTTGCCTGAATAATTCCATTCTGTGCCTTTTTTACTTACATATGGATAATGGGTATTTTACTTCAGTCACAGATAGTGATTCATAATCTTCACCATTCATACCAACTATTATGATTCAAAACCTGTGGATTGAGGGAAAAACAAAAGCAAGTTCTAGTTGTACTCTGCCCAGAAAAATCTTTTCTTTGGTATTTAACACTTCATTTTTATATTAACTCCAGGAGGTATTGTAAATGCTCTAGTACACCCTGCATTGTAAGTTGCATGCAATTCAGAGTGGAGAAATAGTCTTACACTACTAGTGATAAACCAAAACTTGGTTGTTGAAACCCCTAAAATGATTTCTCCACATCAGTTTGCTTAGGGCTGTGGTTTAACTCTTCAAAAGTGGGACTTTAGTGAGATCACGAATCTGCCAGCAAGTAGAATCTATCGTAACTGGAGTGTCCAGAAAACCACTGCCATAGACAGGGTAAGCCAGCTGAGGAAATAAATTTTAAAATATAATTTCTTCTTTATAGCTGCAATTTAGAAAATCTCAGCTTTGAAACACACTTTTTTGAAGAACAGTTTGTCAAATGGATATCTTGACCTTTCAATAGTATATTAAGTAGAATTGAGGTAAGAAGGGATGGAAGAATGAGTTCTTGTCCTCAGACAATGCCACTGTTGACTGACTCTTCTCCAGGTTTTCATATTATGCAAACGAACACTTATGTGTGCTGTGGTGTAAGCAGATGTGGCTGTCTCGAGTTACTGGGATACTTTCCAGCCTTCGCAAATCCTGCCTCTTTCTTCTAAAGGTCACCCTGAAAACAAGTCTGGAAGAACGTTAATCTTTCTCACCTTTGTTTTCAATAGGTGGAATACATGTTGGTATCTTTTGATCATGAAAATAAAAAAGTCCATTTGGTCCTGTCTGGAGAGAAAGTTCTTGAAACTCTGCAAGAGAAGGGGGAGAGGACAAACCCAAAGTAAGCTGATGTACTAGAGGCTTGATTTAGTGTGTCGCAACTATTAGGACTACAAGAATGCAAAATCTTTTCTCATTTATAGGAGGCAGGAGAGTATGTTAAGAGCACATGCTCTGGTTCCAGGTTGCGTGGGTTTCAAATCCTGATTCCTCTATTCAGTAGCTGAATAACCTTGGACAAGTTACTTAACTTCTCTGTGCCTCAGTTTCCTCATGCATAAAGTAGAGATAATGACTACCTACCTCTAGGATGCATTAATACATTAAATTAAATACATTAATATATTAAAGCACTCTGTACAGTAAATGTGAAACCTATTGACTATTATTAAGCATCTTTGGGGAAAATGCTGGTGGTTCAAACTCAAATGCTGCTTCCCAAAAACTAGAAAGTAGAAAATAAATTGGAGAGTATACACCCTTTTCCCTTTCCCTTTTTGGCTACTTAAATAAAGAAATACTTTTACAGCACCATGCCAACCAAACAAAACCCATCTGCAAATTTTTTCTTGCACCACGATTTGTGATCCTGGTTATGCTTTGGCAACATGATTTTTCACCCAAAAAATGCTTAATGATAGTCCTGGACTGTGAGTGCCCCATGTGCATTTTTGGTTGTTTATAAATATTTTACTCAACACTTGTTAACTGTTATATGGTTGAAGAACCATGGAAGAGTAATAACCATCGGTAACTGTGAAGGAGTTCTTTTTATTTTTCTTTTTTTTTTTGAGTTGGAGTCTCACTCTGTCGCCCAGCCTGGAGTGCAGTGGCCTCTCCTGGCCACCGCAGCCTCAACCTGCTGGACTCCAGCAATCCTTCCACCTCAGCCTTCCGAGTTGCCGGAATTACAGGCGCGCGCTACCATGCCCAGCTAATTTTTTTTTTATTTATTGTAGAGATGAGGTCTCACCAAGTTACCCAGGTGAGTCTCGAACCCGCGGGCTCAGGCAATCCACTCACCTCAGCCTCCCAAGGCACGGGATTACAGGCTGAGCCAACGAGCCCGGCTTGTGAAGAAGTTCTTAACTTCATTTATATTAAATGGTTTCTAATTTTTTTTTCCTTCTAAGTAGCGGTCTCATCCTGTTACCCAGGCTGAAATGCAGTGGCATGATCACGACGATCATGGCTCACAGCAGTCTTGATATCCTGGGCTTAGGGGATCCTTCCACATCAGCATGCAGAGTAGCTGGAACTGCCATGCCCAGCTATGTTTTGATTTTTTGTAGAGAGAGGTTTTTACTATGTTGCCCAGGCTGGCCTTGAACTGCTGGGCTCAAGCAATCTGCTTGCCTCGGCCCTCCAAAGTGCTGGGATTACAGGCATGAACTACTGAACCTGGCCAGTTTCTTTTTTTTAAAGCAACTTTTTTTTTTTTTTTTTAGTTGGAGTCACTCTGTCGCTCAGACTGGAGTGTAGTGGCCGCTCCCGGCAACCACAGCCTCAACCCACTGGGCTCCAGCGATCCTTCTGCCTCAGCCTTCCAAGTAGCTGGAACTACAGGCGTGTGCTACCACGCCCGGCTAATTTTTTGATTTATTATAGAGATGAGGTCTTGCCAAGTTGCCCAGGTGGGTCTCGAACCCGCGGGCTCAGCCAATCCACTCACCTCAGCCTCCCAAAGCGCGGGATTACAGGCTGAGCCACTGAGCCCGACCTAAAGCAACTGTAAATCTTTTGACAGTTGAGTAGACTGCTGCAAAATAATCAGATGGAGCTAAATTGTTTCTCCTCCATAGCCATCCTACCCTTTGGAGACCAGAGTATGGGAGTTACATGATCGAGGGAACACCTGGACAGCCCTATGGAGGAACAATGTCAGAGTTCAACACGGTTGAAGCCAACATGAGAAAACGCCGGAAGGAGGCCACTTCCATATTGGAAGAAAATCAGGCTCTTTGCACAATAACTTCATTTCCCAGGTTAGTTGCTATATTAATGTGCCCCAGCAGATGTAGCAGAGCTGTAGGTTATAAAGAGAGCCAGCCAGGACCCACACATGTTTCCTGCAATCCCTGTACCTCATAGACAGTTCATATTTTGTGTCCTGCTATAGAGAGACTCTACCATTGCATGACTTCTCCAGTCGGATGGGTGGTGGCTGCCTGGAACACTGTGGGAAAGACTGTGGGCACCGTGATAGCAGACCAGCAATGTGGTCATGCCCACCATAGGTGAGGGCAGAGGGGGCAGCATGTCAGCTGAGCAGTCCTAACCCTGCCAGCAGCCTCGAGCCTCCTGTTCCCATCGAGTGCTCTCTGCACATGGCTGTGATGACTGTGCCCACCAAAAAGAAGCATTTGCCTGCTGGCATCTGGTGGTGTCAGTGGCAGGTCAGAGGTGACTCTGTGCTCATAGTGACTGGTAGTACAGATTTAGTATGATCCAGATGAGGCATTAGGTCCTATCTGGATGTTGTGCTGAAAAGAAGACTTTCAGCCTGTCATCAAGTCTAGTGACAGAGTTTGTAAAAATAAATAGTGAAATTACATTTTTTAGCTTAGAATGAGGTATGTAACTACCATATGCATCATACATGGAGCCTCCACTTAAGACTGTAATTCTCCCAAGACGTGAACTTGATGTATCTGTGCTACGTGTCTGTCAGATGGTGTCAGTGTACTCACCTTCTCAGAGTTCACAGAGCTTTGGGGATCAGTGTCCGTTACACCTTTGTTTTTTCTTTTCTGTTAAATATCCTTAAGGCACATAGGCATTCAGGGTCATACTGTTGGTCTTAGAAGGGCTTTATTTTTATTTTTATTTTTTGAGTTGGGGGCTCACCCATCTCACCCAGACTAGAGGGCAGTGGCACACTCATGGCTACCACAACCTCAGCCCCCTGGACTTAGGCGATCCTTTTGCCTCAGCCTTCCAAGTAGCTGGAACTACAGACGCATGCCACCACACCTGGCTAGTTTTTTTGTGATGTTATTGTAGAGACAAGGTCTCACCAAATTGCCCAGGCTGGTCTGGAACCCCCGGGCTCAGGCATTCCTCTTGCCTCAGTCTCCCAAAGTGCTGGGATTACAGGCTGAGTCACCATGCCTGGCCAGAAGGGCTTTAAATAGAACTTTTCTTTTTTTAAAAAAATCTCCACTGTAGGATCTAAATAGTTGAAGCCCTAAATGTAAGATCTAAATAGTTGAAGATCTAAATGTATAAGCTGATCATCAGACATTTCTAGAAGCATCTCTTATTTTCTTTGATTCCTTTATTCAGTTTGGGTGGGCCGCTCCCCTCTCCCCACCAGAAGAAAACAACCTAGTTGGGTGAGGGTGGGCAAGTTTGTTTTGATAAGAGTTGAAAGAGGAGGTGAAAAGTCACTGACTCTGCTGTTCATTCTGACTTGGGACCCAGGCAGTGTGGGCTTGCCACTCTGAATCACTCAGGCAGGCCTTCCTCTGTGAAGGTCCACCAAATTCCCATAGATTAAATGGGTATAAACTGGGGTGGTGCTATGAGCACAAAAAGGGGAGCAGCGAGTGTGTCATGCTGTCTAGAGGACTCCGGAGGTGGAGGGGGGTTGCTTGAAGTGATGTCACTTTCTAGGAAGACTATAACTAGAGCAGAGGAGGGGAGGCATGCCTGAGGACAGGGAGCGGCCTGTGCAGAGGTCCTAGGATGAACCAGGAGTGGGGACCCCCTGGCAACTAGGAGAGCGAGCCAGCCCATGCAAGAAGGAACGCAGGTGTGGGTTGTGGTGAGGCGGCACTGCCATAGCTGGTGGGCTATGCCAGGTTACACTGACCTGGATTGTGGTTCACTGACCTGGATCTTGGTTGTTACCCAAAAAGCAGCTAGAGACCTTGGGAAGGTTGGGGTGGGGTGGGGGAAGGCATTCCATTTCTGCTTCACAGCCCTCACCTGGGCTGGAGCATGAGCATGGCTTGGGGCAGGTGCCAGGGCTTCTAGGAGATGGGTAGGGGGCTCACTTGGGAGATCTGGGCAGCCTGGATGCAGTGGGTGGAGAAAGTAGGTGAATCCAAAGATGGCAGAATCAGTGAAATTTCTGGGAGAGAAGACATGTCAAGGCTGTTGCTGTAGGTGATTGTCCTGAAAACCTTAGAATGCTAGAGCAGATGCCAAGAAGCAGGTTACAGATGTTACATGGCAACTTTTAGTGACCTGGAAGATATAATATCTTATATTTAGGAAAATCTTTTTTCCTCTTAACATTAAGAAGGTTGTACATTCCACTTAGCAAAATTTTTAGAAAGGGGCTTGTAATACAAACCAGAACTGTTTTATCTTATATTTTAAAATTTAGGAATGTTCTTTCTGGGCCACAAAATAAGGTTTTTTGGCTAAACCTAATGTGTCTCTTACCCTAATTGAGGGTAACTCTGTATGGAATAGTTACCCTTTATTAAAAAGATTTAGCTTCTTAAGGCATTATGAAGGAAGTGTCGAGATAGAGGAAATACTTTTATCTTAAGAAACCATAATATTTTAAAAAGTCTAGCCATAATAGTTTTAAAGCCTAGCCATGTGTATTAGATTTTTGGAATTGTAAACAAAACAAGAATACTTGTTAGTTATTCAGTGGTGAGAGACCTTCCCGTACATCCACAGTACATGATAAAGTTTTATTGTATTACAGGACGAATAGAGAAAGGAGCGCTGGTTCTTAAGTATAAACAGTGTGATTTCCTCTCTGTGAAGAGCAACGCTCTGTAGTGTAGAACTGTAGTCCAAAACAGTGTCAAGAGACTATTTCAGTTAATTAAAATAATTGACACAAAATGAACATTTCCAGGCCAGGTGTAATCTCAGCACTTTGGGAGGCTGAGGTGGAAGGATTACTTGAGCCCAAGAGTCTAAGACCAGCTTATACAGCATAGTGAGACCTTGTCTCTAGGAAAAAAATTTAAAAATTAGCTGGTGTGGTGTGACACACCTGTAGTCCCAGCTACTTGGGAGACTGAGACAGAAGGATCACAACCCAGGAGGTCAAGGCTGCGGTGAGCCATGATTGTGCCACTGCACTCCAGACTGAGTGATAGAGTGAGACCCTGACTCAACAAAAGAAAGAACATTTCAGTTCCTCAGTCACATAAGCCTCATTTCAAGTGCTCAGTAACCACATGTGGTGAGTGAGTTCTCCAGTGGTTTGGACAGTACAGATGTTACACGTTTCCATCACTGCAGAAAGTTCTGTTGGATAGCACTGGTCAAGAAGGCAGCACTGTAGGTATCTGAAGATCAAGTCTGACTCTCCCTTCTGCCTTCTCCCTTCCATGTAAATACATTCTCATTCTCTCTTCATCTAGCCTGACTCTGGCTAGTGAGGAATCCCCCAGATTTAGGTTTGTTACCCTCCCAAAGGACTTTACCCTAAGTCACAGGCTCATAGTAGATAATGCACATAGCTACCAGAATTCTCAAGAGCCTTGGAGCTGGGAACTGCTTTCCAAATAAGATCAGCACCTTTAGCTGTTGTCCAGAATGGCTGTGGGCAGCCAACAGGTACTTTACTTTATAAAATGTAGGACCTGAAAGTAAGTCACGGACTGGTCTTGGCCCTCAAGCCCTGAGTTTCCTACCACTGACCTAAAACCCTGGTTGGGAGGATCACTTGAGCCCCAGAGGTCAAGGCTATGGTGAGCTGTGATTGTGCCACTGCACTCCAGCCTGGGAGACAGAGAGAGACCCCAACTAAAAAAAAAAAAAAAAAAGTAGGGTTGGGTTTCAGACGTCAGAGGGAGGTCTCAGGGGTGGGTGGGGATACCTGACAGAGACATGACCTAATCTTGAGGAACTCCTGAGGGGACCTGCAGAGGCAAAAAACAGAAGATTCGAGCAAAGCCTACCAGGAAGTAGGGAGCAGTGGTGATGTGTAGAGGGCCAAAAAAGTAATCTGAGAGTTTAGAGCTGGTCAAGGAGGACCTCTCAGAAGTTATGTAGAGGGACACCTGTAACCCATGACAGCTGATAAGACCGAGGGAAATGACTTCAGTGCTGTCAGTCCTTCCTGTTAGATGAAAAGGTGGGTAGGACCTCAGCAAATGCACTGTGGATTGAGTGGAGACTCTGATGGAATCACTGATGGGCGGAACCACAAAAGAGGCCACTCACATGAAGTGCAGGCAGTAGTTGTGAAGGGCACATCCCTCACACGGTGCTACAGTGCTTGCTTTATCAATGCAAGACCCTCAAAAGGGGAATGCTACAAATGAGGGGTTTTTAACAGGGACAATGACAGCAAGACTACCCACAATTGACTCCTGAAAACAGATCCCATCCATTTAGTTCTTCACTTTGTTGTAGATTAGGCTGTCCTGGGTTCACACTCCCCGAGTACAGACCCCACCCGGTCGAAGGCGGAGCTTCCAAGTCCCTCTTCTTTCCAGATGAAGCCATTAACAAGCACCCCCGCTTCAGGTGAGTATACCTCTGATTTGCACGCAGGCACCCTCACTCAGGTCCCTGCCCGCTGGGAGGGGTGTTCCTATCTGGGAATCCTTCTGAGCATTTCTCAAATTCTGACTCCTTTCCCAAGTAGCCAGAGAAGACAGCAGACATACACCTGTGCATGTCCCCAATGCCCTAAGGCTTCTTACATCCAGGCGTGGTCTGTCCATTCTCCACATCATCTTAAAAACATTCATTTAGTCACTGTTCTCTCTTTAAAAGGAGGGGAGAGTATTTCCTCTACTAGTTCTGCAAACACCTATAGCTTTTCCTTAGTTATTCCCACCTTTTGCCCCTCTCTAAGTTACCTGTGATCTGTTCATCTCACTCTGTATACCTTGGTCATATGTAAGGTGAAATTTTCATCTCACTCTGTATACTTTGGTCATATGTAAGGTAAAATTTGCACAGCACTGGGTATAGATAATAGATATTCTCTTCTTTCTTTTCTATTAACTTCTAGGTTTCCTGGTTTGTAATTCAGTTCTGAGGTTTTAAGCTGCTTAAGGGCTCTCACCAGTCTGACCTTGGCTTTGTACCTCGTGTGCTCATCTTTGATTCTGAGCCTGGGCTCCTGACCCAGAGTAGGGAATGTTGGAACTTCTCTGTGTTCATTCTTTAATGGGCCTGCACACTGGCTATGTGGCAAGCCATTTGAGAGAGACAAATATTTGTAGACATAGTTCCCAACTTCAGATGTTGTCATGTATTTAAGGGAAATTAAAATTTTCAGCTGCAAGAAAATAAAGATGGTGACAGATGTCAAATGATGGTAGCACAAGAAATCCTTGAAGAAAGGAAGGGTGTTTCTGACTGAGGAGATCAAAGCAGGATTCATGGAAGACGTGGCATTTATGCTGAATCTATAGCAGTGCCCAACAGAAACATGATGCAACCCTGGGGTCCCCTCCCACTGTGGGAGCTTTTCTGTTCCCTCAATCAATCCTGCTTTCTCACTGTCAAAAAAAAAGCATGATGTAAGCCACAAGTGCAATTGTCAATGTTCTAGTAGCCATGTTAAAGTAAAAAACAGATGAACATAATTGTATAATACATATATTTTATTTAACCCAGTGTATCCAAAATGTTATCAATATTTTTATATTATTAACAAGAAATTTAACTTCCTGTTTTTGTACTAAGTCTTCAAATCTGGTGTGCATTTTACCCTCGCAACGTGCTTTAATTAGGACTAGCCACATTTCAAGTGCTCAGTGGTCACTGGACTAGACAGCACAGGTCTGGAGGGTAAGTGTTAGTGCTGCAGATTGAGGGGGAGGCAGGAACGAGGTTTGGGGGCTCCAGAGATGCCTGGGGAAACATAGGAAATGTTGGAAACAAGGTGAAACCAGACCACAGCCGACCTTGAACTCCTAAACTTGACTTGGTAAGTTGCAGGGATCTGGGGTTGAGGAGAGGATGGCATTCTGAGCAAGAGCCAAGGAATCGGTATTAATGTAAAACCTTCTTTCATAAAGTTCCCTTAGAGTATCTTAACACACCTTCATTTTCTGTAGGGTGGGTTGTGTTAGAGAATTAGTCCAAGGTGTGATTTCATTCCATTTACTTGTATGTGATCAAATTCTTCTCTTACATGCTGACTCTTAGGTGACTTATTAATGACATTTGGTTGACTGTTTTAGCACCCTAACAAGAAATATCCGACATAGACGAGGAGAGAAGGTTGTCATCAATGTTCCAAGTAAGTCTACCGAGAGGGAATAGGGTGGGAGAGAGACCTGTGGAATTGTTGTTTAATTCTTGACTCTCAATCACCTCCTTTTTTTAATTCTTTAATTAATAATGCAGTATTTAAGGACAAGAACACACCATCCCCATTTATAGAAACATTTCCAGAGGATGAGGAGGCAGCGAGGGCTTCCAAGCCGGACCACATTTACATGGACGCCATGGGATTTGGGATGGGCAATTGCTGCCTTCAGGTATTGTTTCAAATATCCGGCGAGGCAGAGCGTTCTCACGCTTTCCTGTTTCTTAGCTTCTTTTTATATATGCATATTTCCTGTTCTCAAAATCACACTTTAATCAGTTGTCACGGTAGCTGGTATGCATTTCTAAAAAGCAATGACATTATTTTAGCAAATTCATTGGAAACTATCTCTTGACTAATAATTCTACAGACTCCATGGTTTACCACAAGGGTATATATTGGGCTGTAGTTATTAATTAACTTAAAATGCATAATATTCCTCACTCCTTGTCTCCATTTTCTGTGCCTGGTTTTTATTGCCATCTACTGATGGGCTAGTGAGGTTGTTAAACTCACTCAAATCTCTTACTTTGAAAATGAGCTCTGCCAAGAGTACTCCCATGATTTGGTGATCCAAAGGAAGGATTGTTTGGGCTTTAAATTTTTACATTTGTGCAAAGCCGCCAAGTGGTATAAACAGACTAAATACTAAGTAGTTAGCAGCCCATGTTTGCCTTGCCCCTGGCTAAGTTACACAGGGGGTAAAATAGCCTTGTCTCTATTTTCCTGTTTAAGATTTTCCGTGGATCTGATTAAATTGCGGGTACCCCTGGCAGTGATTGTGCCCAGGCTCACTTAGGACCTGAGTAGAAGGGCCCAGAACCATCAGGCAGCACACAGGCCTGCAGTTGGGTTTTTAGTCTCACTACTCAGGTACTTGAATAACTCCTTTTCTCTCAATTTTCTCATCGGTTGAAAGAACGGTTTCTACTAAGGTCCCATGTAGGTCTGACTCTAAGCTAATGTTTATTTCATTGCTTTTACTAACAGAAGTATTTGTTTTAACTCTCAATTCGATTAAAATCCTGTTATAACAGACGTAGGAGTTGCACAAAATATAAGTTTATAAATTGAGTGTTTTAAATAAAGGGGTCGCTTGTTACTATTATCCAAGGAGATTTTATTCTGTCCTGGTGACTTCAGCTGATGAGAAACAGTCCTCTGGGGCTGGGGTGGGGCTAGGCTGTCCATGTGAGGCCCCTCAGGGCCTGCAGCTGATTCCCTGAACACAGAGGCCCAGAGCTCCTAACAGCTGCAGTATGTACACACACCTTCTCGCACAGACACCTCCAGCCTGTTTGTTTTTAAAACCGTGTATAATCCAAATTGAATGTGAGTCAGATTTTTCCTATGTTGACTGTATTTAAATAACACAGCCAAGAATTTTTTTTTCTGTTGATATATATAGGTAGTATAAAATATGTGGCTTCCAGCCAAACATAGGCCAGCAAGTTTTCTTATAAATGGTCACACTTCATGGAAAAAGTGACCTTTTGACTTTTTACTACATATCTGCTTTCCCATCTTAATTACAAACATTTCTAAAGCAGACCCTTGAGTTCTAGAACTTACAGTACATGACTTTAAAATGGTGTAATTGCTGTTAGAGTACTGATGGGTTTAATATTAAACTGGGGTGTTTTGCCAAGGACTGCGAGTTGCTCCAGTGTAGTTCCACAGGGATCTTCTTTCTCTTGAAACACTGTATATGTACAAATAAATGCATCCTCATGGTAGGTGATAAATACTTTTGTTGCTTGTAGATATAATTTTCTATCCAATTTTAACTTTGCCATGGATTTAGGAGTAAATTTTCTTTTTCCCAATGACATGTCCAACTTCTACTCCACTTAAAAAAAATCACTAGTGGCTGGGCTCGGTGGCTCAGCCTTGTAATCCCAGCACTTTGGGAGACTGAGGTGAGTGAATTGCCTGAGCCCATGGATTCAAGACCTACCTGGGCAACTTGCTCGTCTCTACAATCAATCAAAAATGAGTTGGGTGTGGTAGCGTGCACCTGTAGTTCCGGCTACTTGGAAGGCTGAGACGGAAGGATCGCTGGAGCCCAGCAGGTCAGGGCTGTGGTGGCCGGGAGTGGCCACTGCACTCCAGCCTGGGTGACAGAGTGAGATTCCAACTCAAAAAAAGATAAATAAATAACTAGCACAGATAATGTACAGTGTGTGGCCAAGGAAATGAACTCCACCAAATCCCTGCTTTTTATCTCTGAAGTGAGACACTAGAAACTACTTACTTCCAAGTACACTGATTTGATCTTTGCAAATTATATATGAATGTATTGGATTATCACATGTACCCTAAAAACATGTGCACCTATTATACAGCAGTAAAAAAACGTAAAAAAAAAAATACTAATTACAGTAAAGCAGAAGAAATCACTTTCAAGTAATTTTTTAAGGTTAAAACAAAACACATTTTAACCACATTCTTGACTCTTCTGGGGCTTTTCAGAAATCATTTAATAAGCCCTAAGTTCACGACATGTTATAATAGGTTCTCCCCATCCCCAAGAAAATCATGTGACTTCAAAACTGTGTTCTAACATCTGTTTTTATTAGTTCCTTTTTTTTGCCCCCTTTTCCTAGTGACTGTCTCTTCTTTTTATGATGCTTTAAAAGGACACTAGAAGCCAAGACTGTTTATATATTTATATCTTAAATATATAAATATAAATATATTTATACTTTAAAAGGCTTGAGAACTCTTTTTCTCCTACCATTAAAACCATTATCCACAGCGATGTTGTCTTTGATGATTGTATATCAACCGTAAGGAAGCCAATTATTAAATTTGTTTAAAGTTTCTAAGTCACTTCACTGTTGTAAACTGAACTATTAAATGCCAGTTGCTAATTTTCTTAAGCACACTTTTCCAGCATTTACATATGACTTGTCTATGTAAGAGAAGTCTATCTCAGAGAAACCAGTCAAAACATTGGCAAGAAAAACTATTTCTCATAGTATCTTTTAAAAAACAAACAAAGCCAGGTGCCATGTCTCACGCCTGTAATCCCAACACTTTGGGAGGTGGAGGCAAGAGGATTGCCTGAGCTCAGGGGTTCGAGACCAGCCTGAACAACATAGTGAGACTTCATCTCTACAATAAATTAAAAAATTAGCCAGGCATGGTGGTTCACGCCTGTGGTTCCAGCTACTTGGAAGGCTGAGGCAGAAGGATCTTCTGGGAGCCTAGCAGGCCAAGGCTGCGGTGGCCGTGAGCATGCCACTGCACTCCAGCCTGGGACACAGAGTGAGATGCCAACTCAAAAATAAGAAAAAACCACACATGCCCACTAAAATACCTAAGAGTAACACAAAAAAGACCTAAGTAAACTGAAAGATGCATGTTCAAAATAATTCATCAGTCAAAACCCTTGGAAAATATGCAGGTACTTTTTAATCCTGGGGCCTTGGGTGTTTGGCCTTGGGGTCAGTTTTTTGTTTTCCACATCCTTGTTCCCCCCACCCCCACTCCCTCTTCAGTACCTTCTTCCCTTCAAGATTCTCTGCTTACTTGGTGTTTGTTAAGCGCAAAGTGTCAGACACTGACCTTCCCACTTGAGACCGAGAATAGCAAGACAAATCCTTGTCCTCCCGGAGCGTGCATGTGGATGACGGGGCCATGACAAAATAAGTGCAAATACTCCGCTTAACAGCTCCTGGATCTTTATGTCTCATTTATGAACAGGCTGATTCCAAGTTCGCACCTCTTAGAGGAAACTCCCCTTGACTTGGTCATCAGTGACCTCATTGCCAATCCTTCTCAATCTTCATCTGTTTTAACCTCTTTGAAACTCTTTCTCCTTGATGTCTGTGATGTAGCTCTTCTCCATGTTGGTCTAATTTGTAATGACTCATTAATTATCATTACCTTTTAATTAAGATACAATGCTGACATAAGCATTAATAGGGAAATTATAGGAGGACCAGGACACCAAATTATCAGAATAATTGTTTTCTATAGTTAGTCTCCACACTGACATGAAATACTATTATACTTGAGCAGGTAAACTTGTGAGTCTTCTGACAGAAGTTGTCTGCTGTTAAAAAGCATAGGTCTAGCTACAACTACGGGAACTAACAGGTGGCTATTGTAACAGTAAAAACATATTCACTCAGATGCTATTATTTCAAGTCCTAAACACTTAAATTATTCCCTGTACCAACACTAAATTCAAATTGTCATTATTAAAACACAAATTGGACAAAGTTTTTTTAAGGGAGTCCCCCCACAACTGATTTTGATGTTCTCAACCAAGGCTATACCACTATTGCGCCGGTCTTTATGTAATCGTGTAATTATTCATAAATTATTGAACATGCTTTTAGAGGATTTGTGCTAACCAAATTATGTGATCTTTTTCTTAAGCATCCTACTTGCCTCCTCTGTGCAGACTTCCTAGGTGATCTCCATTTCAGGACATCATCTGAGCCTAGTCCCCAGATATTTCTCTCACTTAGATTTTCTTTCTAGGTACCAGCCCTGGAGACCTGGCCATGTACAGGGCCTCTTGGTCTGTCCCTTGGCCTTGTAAGCCCATCATATTGTGGCACCTCTTTCCCTCTAACCTCTTCTTCCTGCGTGTTGTAGGAACACCTGAGCCAAAACCTAAGCCATTCTCCGCTGTGTCCCCCACTAGTCACCAACACAAGCTGCTTTGACCCTGGTAGGCCTCTTCCCTATGCTCTCTTCAACAGTATGTTAACTGCTTCCCCAACTTGCTAATTTTGCCCCCTTCCAAGCTGTTCCCCATGCTGCCACCAGTGAACTTTAAAAACTGTCACTAACTGGCATAGGATGGGAACAACAGCCACTGGGAACTCAAGGAGAGAGGGTAGGAAAGAGGTAAGGGTTGAAAAACTACCCATTGGGTACCATGCTCACCGTTTAGGTAACGGGCTCAATAAAGCCTAAGCCTCACCATCATGCAGTTTACCCATGTAACAGACCTGCACATGTACATCTTGAATCTAAAATAAAATCTAAAAACTATTGTTAACTTTTCCAAATCCCTTTTGTACCAAAATTCATATAACTCCTCAGCTAACTGAAGGATGGGAAGTTGCAGAAGGAAGTAGGCCGGTAGAAGAGGAAATGTTTTGTTGAACCTCACTATATATGTGCATCTCATGCTTCGTTCCTGACTTCTTAATCTTATTTCACTTAGGAACATGGTCATTTATATTAGTTGGCTATCTGTAGTGGAATGTGATTTAATACCATTTTCTTTCCTTTTTTTTGAGTTGGAGTCTCACTCTGTCGCCCAGACTGGAGTGCAGTGGCACGCTCCTGGCCACCGCAGCTTTGCCCTGCTGGGCTCCAACGATCCTTCCGCCTCAGCCTTCTAAAGTAGCCAGAACTACAGGCGTGCGCTATCACGCCTGGCTAATTTTTTATATATTGTAGAGGTGAGATCTCGCCAAGTTGCCCAGGTGGGTCTCGAACCCACAAGCTCTGGCAGTCCACTCGTCTCAGCCTCCCAAAGTGCTGGGATTACAGGCTGAGCCACCGAGCCCGGCCTCAATACCATTTTCTAGCTAAGTTCACCCGAGACTGCTTTTCAACAAAATCCCTGCATTAAGCGTTGATATCAGTGAAGGGCCCTCACCTCATCCCTCTTTTCCCAGCCTTCTCTCTCTGACTTTGTTGCTTGAGAAATGTACTAATGATTGTCCTTGTTAATCTTACAATTTTTACACAGGTGACATTTCAAGCCTGCAGCATATCTGAGGCCAGATACCTTTATGATCAGTTGGCCACTATCTGTCCAATTGTCGTAAGTAGATATTACACCTTTATTTTAAACTTTTCTTTGTATGAAGTAAGATCGCATCTGCAGAATTTGCTGACAGCGTGCTATTTAAGTTCAGTTAAAACTTCAGACAGAAGTGAACTAATATAAGTAGTATGCAGATTTAGGACTAAGGAACAAAGAGTTGAAGCTGTAGAAGCTGGTCATTGCTAGGAAAGCATTGATATGTAAAGTGTCAGGTTGGAGTGTAGCTGTTTTCCCTTGCCATACTTCATGTCTTCACAGTATAGAGGGTGATGTAAATGAGTCAGATCCAAGAGCTCGGATTGTTTCTAATGAATTTCACTGTAAGTAAGAAAGCAGGCACAAGTTTGGGGACAGAACTCTGTATGGGTTGCATAACGGATTCTTTTTGACCAGAAAACTAACTGCATGGAGCTTTTTTCAGCATGTACTTGACTCTTTGAATCTGCAGGAGCTGACTTTTGTTTGTTTTTAGATGGCTTTGAGTGCTGCATCTCCTTTTTACCGAGGCTATGTGTCAGACATTGATTGTCGCTGGGGAGTGATTTCTGCATCTGTAGATGATAGAACCCGGGAGGAGAGAGGACTGGAGGTGGGAATGATTTTTCCTTAATAACCCTTTTCAGTCAAGCGGGTAAAATGTAATTGTAACTACTTGCCATTTTGAAGTCCTCCTTAAATTTTTCTAAGTGGGTGAGTCACATATGGGAAGAAACACACAGGTTATAAACCTGTCTTTTGACTTCTATAGTGTTTGTTTTGGGGTGAATATGTGGGGAAAGTGATTTGGTCTGAGTGGGGAGTTAATTTCATCATATGTTGATATCTGTATTTGTTTCAGCTTCTTTTAAGATAAGTAGTGCTTTTTTTTCCCTCCCTATGTTTTAGAAGTCAGTGCTGATGGCTGTTTTTACCAAAAGGCTTTTTGGCACCACCTTAGTGCTTTGTATATGATGCTTTCTGCTGTGGAAGGTATAACAGGTTATCAAAGATTCTTTTTCCTTATAAAAGGTTAGGCTTTGCTTAATAAGGGTAGGTTAGCAAAGCCTCTTGTGTGCATGTTGAACTGTAATCCTGCATCTCTCCAGCCAGGGTGTACATCAGAACCACCTATAGAGATTTTTAAAAGGAGACAACAAGCCCCACCCTAAGACTAATAAATAAGAATCTCTAGGACTGGGACCTGGACATAGTTGTTTTTAAAAGCGTCCTCCCACAACTGATTTTGATGTTCTCACCCAAGGCTGTACTACTATTGCTCTGTTCTTTTTCTAATTATTCATAAATTGTTGAGCATGCTAAGTAGAAATAAACTTTAAAGTATAAATTGTTTTAGTAACTTTGACTTATAGTATAGGTTTATTTATTTACTTATTGCTTTCAACCTTGACATTTATTTTCCTAACTCAAGAATGAAAATGATCTACTTTTTTTTTCTTCTTCTTCTTTTTGAGTTGGAGGGCTCACTCTGTCATCCAGGCTGGAGTTCAGTGGTGCATGCCACCAACACCTAGCTGATTATTTTGATTTTTTTTTTTTTGGTACAGAATACTTGCTGTATTACATAGGCTGGTCTCAAACTCCTAGGCTCAAGCAATCCTCCTGCTTTGGCTTCCCAAAGTGCTAGGATCATAGATATGAGTCTCCATGCCCAACCTTGATCTGCTTTTAAAAGAAAAATGTATATTTGAATCATATCAGAGAAAAGAGTATTTAAACTGCCCTCAGATAAATATACTTTGCCCTAATAATACTTTTTAGGGCTTGCTAACTTTTTTTCAGTAACTTATGTTGAGGGCATTTGTTTATTTCCAGATCATTTTATATGACATTCATTTACATGTTTTTTAAATCTTAGCCACTGAAGAACAATCACTATAGGATCAGTAAATCTCGATATGACTCAATAGACAGCTACTTATCTAAGTGTGGTGAGAAATATAATGACATCGACTTGACAATAGATAAAGAAATCTACGAACAGCTGCTGCAGGAAGGTGAGCTTCCACTCTGTTTTCCTGGGTTTCATTGTACGCCTTTAGTTCTTCAAAGTTCTTTTAAGCTTTTTTGCTGACTCCTGGTCTGGTTTCTGTTTTTAGTGTGAAGTCTCTAACTTTTCTTATGAGGCTGCTTGTTCCTAAAGTTTCAAGTCCCAAATGCTTGTGAGATCTTCTTGACTTTTAGCAAAAGGAACTCACTTTGGAGCTAGGTCCACACCAGTGCCCAGCAGGCATTGTGTAAGTAGCGAATAAAGCACTGATGCTTTCCCAGAGCCTGTAGGATAAAGTCCTGGGCAAGATGAGGCTACAAAACAGACCGGCTATTTCCTAGGCTTCTAGACACCCTTTCTTTACACTTCCTGAGATGTCCTGTCTTTCTGCTGGACTTAGACTCCGCGGTGAGTTCCGTGCTCTCTCTCTGCAGGCCTCGACCACCTCCTGGCCCAGCACGTTGCTCATCTCTTCATCAGAGACCCACTGACTCTGTTTGAAGAGAAAATCCACCTGGATGATGCCAACGAGTCTGACCATTTTGAGGTATCTCTGTTTTAAATGCATTTCATTTCAGGAACCACGATGGAGGCCGTGTTCTCTACCTGCGAGGAATTAGTGACACCGAAATTGCCTCTGCCTTTCATTATCCAGTGCAGTAGAGAACTTAGAAAAATAAAGTACTCTTATTTTATGACTCCTACTGGTTAGCTTTCTCATTCTAAAATTTTTTTTAAATCCATATTTCCTCTTGTTTGCCTAGTGGTAAAAATTCAAACACACTGCACACACAAAAAAAACCATGGTCAGGTATATCAGTGCTTTGGACATACCACCTAACTTTTCTTGTTATAGCTAGTCATTTCATAAGTTTATTTCTGTGCCATGTTACATGGAGATATTTACATATATACCTTTTCAAATGCAACTGTAGCCCCTTTCCTTCTACCAAACTCACAAAAGAAGTTATAAATCCTTCCAGGATTGCCAGCAGGCATCCCAAGATGGTCAATGGTCAAGGCCAAGACCAAGACCAGAACATCTCTCAACACCTTAGGAGACAGCGCCCCTCCTTAGGCACTGGGTCATTGAAGCAGTAGCTTCCCAGGACCCAAGGGGAGGAGAGAAGAAAGGAAACAGCTGTGGTGTGACAGGGTTATCAGATGAAAGTATCCAGTGACTCCAAGAATGGCAATCTGGCTCCCAAAACTCCTTGGGTGGGATAAAAGCAGGACCCTTAGATGGTACCCAACTCATGAGGGCTAGGGAGTAAGAACTAGGGATCAGACATGCAGGTTTAGGGCTCTCACTTTCCTTAAACGCTTTTGCTGTTTTGTTTTCCTAGCAGATCACACTCAAAGAAAATCTTCAATTGCACCTTTTTGTATTTGTAAATTAATGAGTATTTGGCAAGGACACTGAACCGTCTTCTTCTTCCCTAATTAAATACTTAATCATCTTCATATTTTCCTGGAAAGTATGGAAAGTTGGTTTGATTCTCTGCTCTTTTATTATAGAATATTCAGTCCACAAATTGGCAGACGATGAGGTTTAAGCCCCCTCCTCCAAACTCAGATATTGGGTGGAGAGTAGAATTCCGACCCATGGAGGTAAGACTCGTGCATCAGCAGAAGTTGCTTCGAAAGCAGTCTTCCTGTCTGCCCATCACCCTTCTGACTCCCGAGTGTATTGGAAGGCAGTCCAAATCAAGGACGTGCATGTTGAAAGCCAGTCCTAGAGCTAAGGAGAGTTGACTTCTGAGGGTATATATGAGCAGAGGGCTTCCACTCCCGAATGGATAGTTAGGGGTTGCTTGGGAATGGCCTGGGTCAGGGAAGAGCACATTTATGTAGTTGGTTCATAATTCTGACTTCTGCATGTCCAGGTTCAGTTAACAGACTTTGAGAACTCGGCCTATGTGGTGTTCGTGGTGCTACTCACCAGGGTGATCCTTTCATACAAGTTGGATTTTCTCATTCCACTGTCCAAGGTAAGCATATGTTTCATTATGGTGATGGACTGCAGATGTCTTTCTTTTTTTTTTTTAATTGGAGTCTCACTTTGTTGCCCAGGCTAGAGTGCTGTGGCACACTCACAGCCACCCCAGTACCACCCTGCTGAGTTTAGGCAATCCTTCTGCCTCAGCCTTGCAAGTAGCCAGAACTATTACGGGCACACGCTACCATGCCCAGCTAATTTTTTTTGTATGTTGTAGAGACAAGGTCTCACCAAGTTGCTCGGACTGGTCTTGAACCTGCGGGCTCAGGCAGTCCACTTGCCTTGGCCTCCCAAAGTGCTGGGATTACAGGCCAAGCCACCAAGCCCAACCAGATTTATTCCTTTATATATACTATTTATTGGGCTGGGTGTGGTGGCTCACACCAGTAGTCCCAACACTTTGGGAGGCTGATGTGAGAGGATTACCCAGGAGTTCAAGTCTATATACTATTTATTTCAAGTCCAACATCACTTAGAAATGTTTCCCCTTCTTTCTCCAGCCTACTCTTTTTTTCCTCTTCAACCTAAGCTTTATTTTTAGTGGTTTTCCATTCAAGATGGTGGATGGTTAGAAGTAGTCCCACAAATTCATTTCATCCACCCGAAATCCCATTGTGATAACAGTGTTAAAATTAGGATGGGAGGGGAACGTGTGACTGTTGGACTGCGGGGATAGGTCTCCTCAGTCGAGCTGGGCTTGAGACGTTTCTGAAGAATGTGGGTGGCACTGAACTCTCAGAAAAACCCTGGGGTTTACCAGCCCCAGCCCAGAAAATACCAAAAAAGGAGCTTTCTGCGAGAAGTTTCCCAGCAGAGCCTTGAAGCAGCTCCAGGCGACTAGCAGACACGCTGTGTGCATGAGGCAGTGACTGGGGATAATGCTGTGTTCCTGGGCCTGGGGCCTCTTTGAAAGAGAGAGAAGACTGCCGGGGTGAGGGAGGACTCTTACTGAGGACTTTAGAGCCAGAGAAAGGAGAAGGGGAGCAGCCCTGTCCCCGCAAACATGGGGGCAAGAGTACATTGCTAGCATCTAGCCCAGCATACCTTGCCTCTGCACCCTCCACGAGGGGCTTGCATCCTGTGCCCATCCCTGCACTCCCGGAGGGAAACCTGCCTGTCAGTCTATCCCTGTCTGCTTGTCACACCCAAACCAAAGGATTCCATGAACCCGTGTTGCCCATATGGCACCTGCTGGGGAGACCAAGTTCATCCAAGGGAGAGCCTCTGAGAGCTGCTGTTCAAAGCCTTTGTTTATAAGTAAGAAGAGATGTCTGAACATCAACAGAAAATTGTACAACCTTGAAGAGAAGGGCCCAGCTGGTCCTGCAGAGTACACTGTCCTCAGTAAAACACAGTTCAGGCGAGACACTGAGAAACGAACCCGGCATGGTAGCTCCACCTGTAGTCCCGGCTACTTGGGAGTGGGGAGGATTGCCTGAGCCCAGGAGTTCAAGTCCAGTCTGGGCAACATTGCAAGACTCTGCATCTAAACAAAAAAAAGAAAGAAACTGGAATTTTACATTTTTGACTAATTCATTTATTTTTAAATTAGAGACAGGGTCACCCGAGGTGAAGTGCAGTGGCACAATCATCACTCACTGCAGCCTCCAACTCCTGGGCTAAGGTGATCCTCCTACCTCAGCCTCCCAAGTAGCTGAGACTGTAAGTGTGCACCACTACACCTGACTTTGGAAATAATTTTTATTTTTTATTTTTTTTATTTTTTTGAGTTGGAGTCTCACTCTGTCGCCCAGACTGGAGTGCAGTGGCCACTCCCGACCACCTCAGCCTCGACCTGCTGGGCTCCGGCAATCCTTCCGCCTCAGCCTTCCAAGTAGCTGGAACTACAGGCGCCCGCTACCACGCCCGGCTGATTTTTGATTTATTGTAGAGACGAGGTCTTGCCAAGTTGCCCAGGTGGGTCTCGAACCCGCAGGCTCAGGCAATCCTCTCACCTCAGCCGGAAATAATTTTTAAAGAAGTTCTAACTAGTGCTCTCAAATTCTAGAGGGGGGTCACATTCATAAAATAAACAAGCACTGTAGATCAAAGAATATTTGAAGAAAAGAAGTTCTTAAAGAATATGGTAACCACACATTGAAAACTTGAGCATACTGCATAGACTCCACATGAAAGCAGACATTGCTGAAGATCCAAGTAAGTGATTTCAGAGACCGCGTTAAGGCTCATCCCAGCAGCATGGCAAACAAATGGAAATTGGAGAAAAACTGAAGCATGGAAAATCACTTTGGAAGTGTTAGTGTTTGTGTAGTAATTTAGAAGAAGAGAATGGTCTGTATGGGAGAGGTGTGAAATACAATAATCAAAGAAATAATAGAATTTTCCCTTAACCTAAGAGTCCATTAAGGGTGAGACATATATGAAAGAACCCAAATCTGGGCATCTCTAAATCTCAAAGAGAAAATCAACTGTCCAGACAGGAGAGAAAATCAGCATACCTGCCAAGGGAGTAAAAAAAATCAACTGGTACTACTTCTCATTTACAATCTTAAATGCTAGGAGAGACAGAAAGAAGTCTTTAGAATCCCAAGAGGTAAAGAATTACAATCACAGAATTCTCATTTTAGTCAAATTAGACTTTAAATTTCAGATGATTCTGACAAAACTTAATGGATCAAGTTAGGCTAAAAGTATACCAGAAGTCTTACCTAACATCTTACTCTGGGCTGCTGTCACAAAAGATGTGCCACAAACTGGTTGACTTATAACAACAGAAATGCGGTACTCCCAATCCTGGAAGCTGGGAAGCGCAACATCAACGTATATTCAGTGTCCAGTGAGAGAGAGCTCCCGGGCTCATTGATGGGGCCTTCTTGCTGTGTGGGGTCTTCAGCTAACTAGCTCTCTGGGGACTCTCTTCTGAGAGCACTGACCCCATTCATGAGGGTAGAGTCTTCGTGATAATCACCTCCCACCTTCTAATAGTGTCACGATGGGGATCAGGCTTCAACATACCAATCTGGGGGCAGAAAAAGCATTCAGACGAAGCATCTAGCAATGGGATGGTAGAAACTCTTTCATGCTTGACATATAGAGTGATAAATTCAAAGCTACATGTTTAAAAGTAAAGAAAATTATTAGGAGTATAAGAAATAGGATGCAGGCTAACAGATGGGAAAATGAACAACTTTTAAGTGCCATAGAATTGGATCTGGGGCCAGAGAATGGTCAGACAGAACATAAAACGGTAAAAAAGAAAATGAAAACAAATTTGAATAGACTAAACTCTCCCATTAAAGGCTAAAACAGGCAGGGCATGGTGGCTCACGCCTGTAGTCCCAGCACTATGGGAGGGCTTGTCAGGAAGAGTGCTTGAGCTCAGAAGTTCTAGACCTCTCTAGGCAACATAGTGAGACCTTGTCTGTGCAAAAACTTTTAAAAAAATTAGTGAGGCTTGGTGGCCCAGCTGAGGCAGAAGGATCTCCGGAGCCCAGGAGGTTAAGACTGTGGTGAGCTGTGAGTGAGTCACTGCACTCGAACCTGGGCAACAGAGTAAGACCTCAACTCAAAAAAAAAGGCTAAAACTAGACTAGCAGCATTACAGTAGAAGTTGTTTGCATAAGACATGCTTAGACCAAGGCAGATGCTGACAATCTAGGGCTACACGATGACCTTTAAAAGGACAGCAGGAATAACAAAGAAATACCAGGAGGAATAAGATGTGAGGTAGAAAGTATTCAGTGAGATAGAAAAAACAATTTTTATATATTCTTTCAAGAAACTAAAGCTGTGGGATTTTCATTCCATAAAGTATAATAACGCTTTTTAGCACGAGAAGAGTTGACTGTGATGACGGGTAAGGTGTGGCTTCAATGTGAGAACTAAATGCGTAAATCCCTGGTCCTGCTTACTAGCCTTTTACCCTGGACAGGTTCCTCTCAGTTCCTCAGTTTCCACATGTAGAAGGGGATAGGTAGACTGTTGTGAGTCCATGGGGGATCAGTGGAGGCGAGCCACAGGGCCCCTTTCACATTACTCGGTAACTGTGGTAGGTCATGTAACATAGGATGGGGGATTAGATGGCGCAGTTACTAAACTCAATCGTACAACCCGAATCACATATCTCAAACCACAGCACATCTTTTCTCAAGTTCCAGGAGGGAGACTTACAGAAGTTAAGGACAGTCTTCACCAAAGTAGACGCCATACAGGATGCATTTCTACTGGAATCCAGCAAAAAGATACCTCTGGAGAAATTGTAACTGTTGGAAATTTAAAATGTCTTTCCCAATAGGCTTTAGATTAGTCAAAACTAGAATTACAGATTGTGCAGGAAAGGGAGGCAGTGGGATGCTGGCCAAGCTAGTCACCACGGAAAAATCTTAGCTTTAAAACGTCTTAACAGAAAAGACTGAAAATAAACAGACCTAAGCCATCAAGAATCTAAAAGGCAACAGTCAAATATACTTTTAAAAAGGAATTCATAAAAGCAGAAATAAAAACAATGAAAAAGCGGTCCACGAACTTTTGTCAGGATTAAGAAAAAAATATTAGAAATGAAAACAGAGATGTTCATAGCCATGGTGTACTTTTAGACTGTTATTTGAGTATGCTTCTGGAGGTGCTTAGGTTATTCAGAAGGTCCTGTGTGTCTCTTTAAAAAGAAACAGGAGGACTCCTCCTCATAGTGAGTGCGGGAGTAAGCTCAGTTTTCAAGAAAGATTTTGTGTCATCTATCCCACTCCAGCCTGACCCTCTAGCTTGTGACTATTTTATATAAGGCTCCATGTAAAATTTCATTTTATAGAAAATAAAGGACTACCACCAAAAAGTTTTAAACTTTGAGAGTCTTAAAAAGTTACTGGAAAAATGAAGAATTCACAAATAAAACAGTTTTGGGACTCAGGAATGGGTTGATGCAGCCAGAGCCACGGTGGGCAAACAGCAGTAACCCTTTGGCCTGGGAGGGCTGTGACCTTATTCCAGATCCCCTCTCCTCATTAAAGTGAGGAGGCAAGACCCCAGTGGAGGGAGGAACAAGCACTGAGCTTAGAGGTCAGGAGAACAGATTCTGGTCCTACCCTGCTGCCTTACCTTGAGGCCTGTGGTGACACACTGAGTTCTCCGGGGAGAACCAGCCACCTGCCCTCCCGACACTGTAGATTCATTGCAGTACTTAGCCACAAAGGTGTTTTAAAATGCAGATATCCTACATGAATGTAAGTTTGGGGTTTGTTTGTAAGGTAAGTTTCCCTTAAAATTCCCTGATTGGTATTAAAGAGCACCGAGGCAGGCTCTACGGAACTGACAAGCTTATTTTTCCTCCCAGAAAGCATTTGAGGAGAAAGCAGAACTCCCGAGGTAGCAAGTCCTTTGCAGACATGAGGAGACACCGCAGCTTCTGAGTCTGGTCGGAATGTTCCAATTTAGCTGTGACTCTACTCTTTTCTTCCTTAGGTTGATGAAAACATGAAAGTAGCACAGAAACGAGATGCTGTCTTGCGGGACATGTTTTACTTCAGGAAGGATATTTGCAAAGGTATAACATTCTCTGGGGTTCTGGGGCCAGTTTCTGCCACAACGAGCCACTAAGCCCCTGCACCCTCTCCCCAGCAGGTGGCAACGCTGTGGTGGACGGATGTGGCAAGGCCCAGAACAGCACGGAGCTGGCCGCAGAGGAGTACACCCTCATGAGTATAGACACCATCATCAATGGGAAGGTAGGGCCTGGTGGCATGCGGGCTGGGCATGCCACCTGGCTGGGAGCTCACAGGTGTCCTGCTTCTTGTAGGAAGGAGTATTTCCCGGGCTGATCCCAATTCTGAACTCTTACCTTGAGAATATGGAGGTAGATGTGGACACCAGGTGCAGTATTCTAAACTACCTAAAGCTCATTAAGAAGAGAGCATCTGGTACGTAGCTTTTTTTTTCTTAATCTCATAATGTAGGCAGGATCATACAATCTTGTGATGTTCAGTTTCTTAAAGAACTCTTTTAAAGTGCGCCGTATTTTATTCATGCACACTTTCCCACATTTCAACATCTGCAACTGGATGCACCCTATAATCTTCAACAGTCACAGTTTAGATTAGTGCCTTTTTCCTTACTGGTTCATAAAGTAGGGGTGCATCTTGAAATGGATGGCATTCTTGGATGATAAACTATGGTATTCTGGACTGCCTGTTTGTGATTTATGTCCAACTATGTTCATAGTAGATCATCAAAGGCTCTGTCATAGGGACAAGGAGCTCTGTAGGTAGAGAAGCTCACAGCCAGGATGGCCAAGCCTTCATCTGGCCTCCGTTCAGTGATCTTCCTGAGAACCCCCTTTCTGTGTTAGCTCCGAGATTCTTCCTACAGTGCCGATCACAGTAGTTGGCACAGAGAAGCTGGCAATTGTTAAGAAAGTAACAGTCATCATGGTCATGACCTCTGTATCTCACTGGAAGCCTCTGTAAACTTTCCAGAGTCACAAAGGACAGCTATAGACCTCTTCTCGCCCCATGTGCTGTGTTTGCCATTTTCCCTCTTCCTTCACTCTAGTTATGTTTTTTATTCTCTCCACCTCTTTGATCAAAGATCACTCGAGGGACCCTACAGTCCTCTGAGGCAGTGTCATGACACCGGTATATGTTAGGCCTAGCCTTCTGGCCAAATGGGAGGACACATGCTCTTGTATACATGTGCTGACTCCTGTCCCTTAAGAGCTAGCCATGTCAGCCTATGGGTGGCATCTAACAGGTACTATTAGAAACTGGATGTACGTGTTCTACTTGCCTGCCTGCACCCCAGAATTCTTCCCCAGGAGGAGTCCCTCAAGCACTGGGACAGACACGTTCCCACCCCCACCAAGCAAACTAAAAGGTCATATTGATTTCTCTTCAGAAGCATGTTTTTGCTGACTGCTAAATATCAACTTATGGGGGAAAAAAAAAAGGCTTCTGTTATGTTATTCTAAAAAAAAATGCCTTTTTTTCCCAGGAGAACTTATGACCGTTGCCAGATGGATGAGGGAGTTCATCGCAAACCATCCTGACTACAAGCAAGACAGTGTAATAACTGACGAAATGAATTACAGTCTTATTCTGAAGTGTAACCAAATTGCAAATGAATTATGTGAATGCCCAGAGTTGCTTGGATCAGCATTTAGGAAAGTAAAATATAGCGGAAGTAAAACTGACTCTTCCAACTAGATGTTCTGCAGACACAGACGTATTCCTGCGTTAGTGACGGCCTGGCCGTGTCCCGTGCCTCTCAGCCCGTGTGTTGGTATAAAGACCAAGGAATAGAGCTGCACTGTCTCCTGACCCAGTGGGCCAGAAATTGATTTAGAGGCTTCCTTCCGTAGGCAGATCTAGAGTTTATACCGTGTACATGTACATAGTAAAGTATTTTTATGATTAACAATGTATTTTAATAACATATCCAAAGTCATTGTGAACTGGCTTGTCCATTTTTAAATTCTTACTCTGGAGCACTACTGTCTCCGCAGTTCTGTAAATGTAATGTACTGGTAATGTACAATACCTGCATTCCAGAGTTGAAAATGTTTACTGTACATTTTTGTTTCTTTAAAGACTACCTGGGACCTGATTCACTGAAATTTCCCTCTTCAAGAACACTTTCCCTTGTTAGTTCTCTTCGATCTATCTCCCTTGAGGTACATCAAATCACTTGAATCCATCGAAGTGCTTTGGGGTGATCTGAGGTGGCTGGCCCCTCCCCTGGGGCGTTCCTTGTGGGGTTGGGGGAGCTAACCCCATGGTCACCTTGCCCCAAGCTTTCCCCACTGAAGAAAACCCATTCAGCTGATGGCTGAAAGGAACTTTCCTTCTTTGCTAATTCAGGCCTTAAGTTTAAAGACAGCTCTGTAGGAAGAATGGATTTACCCAGAGTTTACATGCAGCGACTGATTATTGGGGTGGATTTTTTTTTTAACTAAAAAAAGGGGGGAATCATTCTTTTTCCTGTACATACAGGAGTACTGTCAGAGATGGCATTTGCTCCTCTGCCTTGGCCTCTTTTTCTGGTTGCTGCTATATACTTAACATTTTCAGATCAGACGCAGTTGAAGTTTTGTTTTGCTACTCTTTCTCTAGTTTTTAGTAAGCATATTGATAGACTTTCTTCTAAAAGCCATTTACTCCAGATTTTACCTGGGGCATGTTTACTTTCTCTCTAAAACTCATAAATAAATCATGAAATGCACTAAGTTTTGTGAATCAGGACCCTAAATGTTTAATTGTAAATAATTTAAGTTTCAGATAATTGTTGTTCCAGCTTTCTGTCGAAGTTTTGTTGTTTTTTTTAATTAGTTAAAAGTCTTAACTGCTTCTGAAATAACTATGTATTGTAGATTTTACAAACCTTTTACAGGCATAACTATTTAAATTGTAATGCTAACTTTAAGAGATTGCAATAAAGCTGCTTCAGCTAAACCTGTTTGTGTTTAAATACTAGGGTTTGTTCTATATTTCATACTTGCATTTTGGAGGATTAAAGAATGCCTGTTTTTTGTTTTGCCATTTGCTTGTGTAAATCAGGTTGTATAAAGGCAGATGAACTAAAATGTTTGTGGTATGAGTAAATAAAAGAATGAATTAGCATTCAGAAAACTCTTCAATGTGTGTGAGTTCTACAGCGAAATGGATAGTAGTAGAGTTGTTTTATTAGTGAGCCCAGATGACATGAAATTATTTCTTGATCATTGCAATTCTCAGATATTTTAATTATTTTTCTTTCTTCTTCTTCTTTTTTTTTTTTTTTTTAGTTGTAGTGGTCTTGCTGTGTTGCCTAGGCTGGAGTGCAGTGGCATGATCATAGTCATGGCAGCCTTGAAATGCTGGGCTCAGGCGATTCCCCACCTTGGTAGCTGGGTCTACCAAGGCACCACCACGGCTAGTTTAAACAATTTTTTGGTAGAATTGACAGTCTCACTATGTTGCCCAGGCTGGTCTCGAACTTCTGGTCTTGAGGGATCCTCCTATCTCAGCCTTTCAAAGTGCTGGGATTGTAGCCATGAGCCAGCACACCTGGCTCAGGTGTTTTTAGAAGCCATGAACCACCATGCCTGGCTCAGGTGTTTTTAGCACGGTGATAAAAACGGCTACCTTTTCTCCCTTACTAGCTGTCTGCCCCTGATGAGAGGGAAGAACTTGAAATGTGCCTGAAATTACAGCTGTGCTACTGGAAGTGAATTTTTCTTTTACTCCCACCTGCTGCTGTGCTGGGTCAGTGGGGACACAGTGAACACTTGGCCACTTGGATGCTATGTGCACACTGGTCCAAGCAGGAGACACGTGGACTGTGAGTCAGCAAGTCCTGCAGAGAGCTGTTTCCAACCCTCAACTTTGGGTCAACATCCAAATTGAATTCATGAAATCATGCTCCTCATCTGATCAATACACTTCTCAGAGCTTATGCTCCTTTATCTGAAGACTTCTGGGACAGTGCTCGTCGAACTATTCTTCACACGAATCTCTTGGGGTCTCCTGGCTGGGCGAGGCTTGAGTGAGGCCCACATTTCTGCATTTCTAACAAGCTCCCAGGCAAGACTGATGCTGCTGGTCTGCTGGTCACATGAAGGGCGAGGACAAGGATCGCTTTCTCTGAGTGATGCACAGGTCAATTTGAAGCCTCAAATAACACTTGCCTTGAATTCTAATGTGATGTGTCTAGGTCTTTCTCTTATTAAAAACCAGGTAATGCCACTTTTTCTCCAAGACAGAGAAAGTAAACCTCAAACCTTTCTTGAGCGTTATCATCTGAACACAGCTGAGATTTGGGGGTTTGGGGAACAAGTTGAAACATTGAAATCAACTGTGAGTGGATTGCCTGAGCCCGCGGGTTCGAGACCCGCCTGGGCAACTTGACGAGCCCTCATCTCTACAATAAATTAAAAATTAGCCGGGCGTGGTAGCGTGCACCTGTAGTTCCAGCTACTTGGAAGACTGAGGCGGAAGAATCGCCGGAGCCCAGCAGGTCGAGGCTGCGGTGGCCGGGAACAGCCACTGCACTCCAGTCTGGGCGACAGTGTGAGACTCCAACTCAAAAAAAAAAAAAAAAAAAAGAAATCAACCAAAATTGCTTTCTCCTGGTAGAAATACCAGTGGCCAAGCCCAGACATTCACTTCTCACTTAACCTGCTTCTAACGCCAAGCCTAGCTTCACATTCACTTCTCACTTAACCTGCTTCTAACGCCAAGCCTAGCTTCCTGCCCTTCAAGTCTCCTGCATGAAGGAGAGAGGTTTCTGCCTGGTCTCAGGATGTCCTGCTGCTGAGCTCATGCCTGATGCTGTGAGCGTTTCCCTTCTGAAGGAGAAGGCTTGCCTTGGCCTCTGCCTCCTAAGCCACCACCTGAAACAAAACTAGCCAAGAAACATGTGGGCATCAGGATGTGGCGTGGGTTAGGCCATCTCTCGAACTGACGGAAGCTTTCTCAGGGACCTGAAGTCTTGCAGAGAGGAAAGGTGGAAGTATACTTCAAGCCACTTTTGTGCTTGACATGGAGGAGGAGGCGGGGCAAACAGCCTGTGACACCGGGCCTTCCATAGTTCGGCTAGGGGAGGGGCCTGTTCGCAACTGCAGTTGTGCTGCTTAGTCTCGTGGCTTCTGGAGGTCCCTCTCAGGAGCATCCATTTAGGTCTAGGCTCCGCGCAGTCCCCAAAGGTAAGCCACTGGGATCTGTCTGCTTTTGTGTAAATATTTAACATTCCCTATAAATACGTTGGGAAATACATACCAAGTGATATTTAGATAAGGTTTAAGTTGAAAGGTGTTCCGGCTGATGTAACAGCCTTAAAAAACTGATGAGTATTCCTCCCTGTTGTGGAGGCTGGAAGTCCACTGTCAAGATGCTGGCAGAGTTAGTGCCTGGTGAGGGCTCTCCCCCTGTTCTGCAGATGTCGCTCTCTTGCTGTATCCTCATATGTTGGGGAGAGAGATCATCTTTCTTGGCTCTTATAATAAGGGCACTCATCCTGTCCAGAAAGGTTCTATCTATCCTCATGACCCAATCACCTCCCAAACCTCCACCTCCAATACCCTCCCACTGGGCGTTAGACTTCAACATAAGGATTTGGAGGAGACACATTCAGTCCACAACAGAAGGGAACTGGGGAGGACCGAACTGGAAGTAAGGAGACCCTGGTGAGCAACCTTGGCTGTGAAAGATACACTTCTTGGTCTATTTATCAAATGTTCTCAGTAAGCAGAGGTTGAAATAGGTGGGATAATCCCTGAAGCCCCTTTCATTGTTAACAGTCTATGAAACGAAACATTACAAAGGCAGGTAAGAAGATGCATTTAAAAAGAACAATGGACTATATAACACAGTGATAGAAAAGAATGTGTTGCACACAACACGTGTGGATGAATTTCACAGATGTCATGTTCAGTGAAAAAAGCCAGACATAAAACAATGTGTATTGTGTGGTCCCATTTACAAGTTCAAGGACCGATAATGCTAAGTGACAATGGTTGAAGTCCCACTAGTGGTTGCCTCTGGGTGGGAGTGAACGAGTGTACTGACAGAAAAGACACACTTCTGGATTGCTAAACATGTTCTACGTCTTAATCTGGGCAATGATCTGTGAATATCAATATGTTTAAAAATCACTGAGCTGCACACTTAAGGTGAGGATGCTTTACATAATTTATGTTTGTTATACCTTTAAAAAAGTAGGCCGGGCTCTGTGGCTCAGCCTGTAATCTCAGCACTTTGGGAGGCCAAGGCGAGTGGATTGCCTGAGCCAGTGGGTTCGAGACCAGCCTGGGCAACTTGGTGAGACCACGTCTCTACAATAAAAATCAAAAATTAGCTGTGGTAGTGCATGCCCATAGTTCTGGCTATTTGGAAGCCTGAGGCAGAAGGATTGTTGGAGTCCAGCAGGTCAACGCTGATGTGGCTGTGAATGTGCCACTGCACTCCAGCCTGGGCGATGGAAAGAGACTATGACTCAAACAAAAAAAAGTGGTTAAAAATTGTTCAGAAAGAGGAGGAAGGAAATAAAGGGAACGTTTCTGAGCAAAAACTAGCTCTCTACCTGTGGTATGTGTTTTGAATAACTGCATCTTTTATGCCCTTTGAATAAACACATTGTGCTATCGTCATGGCATCTGAATGAAAGCTGATTCAAAGCTAACATCTCTATCAAAAGTGTATGTCCTGAAGTTCCTAGGAAGTTTATCAGGACTGGGTTGGGAAGGGATACAAGTACTTCTAGCATAAAAGCAAAGCCTAATATTTACACACACCAGCTGGGCGACTTCAACAAGTGACACAACCTCTTTGTATCATCTGTAGAATAGATATGAAAATACGTTGCAGATCACTATGAGTTGGAAATGAAGTGTTGTACATAAACCATTCAGGCAAGTTCTACCTCCTCCCTATTCTTCACCCCTAGGGAGTCAGAGGACATTGTTGCATTCAAGATGATGCAACCTGGCCAGGCTCAGTGACTCAGCCTGTAATCCTAGCACTCTGGGAGGCCAAGGCAGGTGTATTGCCTGAACCTGCGGGTTCAAGACCAACCTGGGCAACTTGGTGAGAGCTCCTCGTCTCTAAAAAAAAAAAAAGATGATGCAACCTGCATATACTACCTACCAATATAATATGTATTTCCTTAACAGTCTCCTTTGAAATAATTTACCCCTCCAAGAATGCAGTGGAGAAGTCAGCAATTACACTGACACTTAGGAACTAATGTTTCTGGCAGAACAAAATGAAGCACGAGAAACTTATCCTATGTTTCTAGCACCTCTCATACTGTCCTGGTGATATTCTGGAACTTTTTTCTGCCTTGTCCAAAATGAAATGTCTTGAATACTATTGGGTCTTGCAAAGTAGAGACATTCAGCATATTCAGGATTATTGGATGCAAGTGACAGAAAGCCCCTTACCAGAGGGCTTTAGATAAAAGGGAGCTGTTGACCAACTTGCATAACGAACATCGCAGAGATGGCCCTAGTGGTAAGCACAAGTTCTTTGAAGCTCAAATGCTATCACGTCTCCTCATTCCTGGCCTATGCTTTCCTACACATAGGGGTCTCACCCTCAGGCAAGTTCTCCATCATAAAGTACACTCCCCTGCCCCTGGTGCCAACCCCTCCCAGCAACAACATGGTTAGCTGGTGGAAACCCCAGTGGAAAAGTCCATAAGAAAGTGCACAGGAAAATCTGGGTCTTTCTCTGATTTCGTGAAGATTCACAGTGTGCTGTAGACAGGAACCGGGGATCTAGTTCTGACTCTACCACTAGTGGTTGTGTAGTCTCTAGCAAGTCTTTCTCTTCCTCTGACCTTCAATTGCCTCATTCACAAGATGGATAAAATCTCAGTCGTACCTCAGGTCAACTCCAGAGCTAGCATGTCAGCTTTCCACACTACAAGCTTTTTCCTCTGGAAGCTGGATAATAGTGCCCTCTGGTGTTCTATACAGTAGGTAACTTTCATTTTGTTTCATTATTCCTTAGTTCTGAGCAAATTGACTGCAAAATGGAATTCCATCCTGAAATATATTTTATTGCTATCCTCTTCTTCAGCTTAGAAATAGGCTTGTGCTCTAACATAAACAGTTAAAGCTGTAGGTTTCACATTTATTACCGTTTTTAGC